GCACATTAAGACAACAGTGTGTGGTAGTTCTCGTGTACACAAGCGTTAAATTGTGCTTTGTCAGCATCCATCATTACAAATTGTGGTGCAAATTGAACACCAGCACAGTCCATGCACACACGCTTCAGGTATCTGATGCACCATCCGATGTCTATCGCACGTTTTTGCGAAGTGCAAAAGTATACCAACGGAAAAAAGTGCCCAGCGCGATCCGAAAATCCAAAAACAAAAACCAAGTAGCCGTTTATAACCATGCTGTGCGTACTGTCAATGTGCAAAATTGAAGTGAAATCGGGATGAGTCTGGCCGCAAGGTAGCTTCGAATTAGACGTAAACAGGTCATCCCTACCCGAAGAGGGTACGCGACCGATCCGTCACCAAGGTGCGAAACAGTCCCCTCTGCACCGGGCCCCGTGTCGCGTTGAGAATCACATAAAATGATCATTGCTGTGTCTGATGTCGTCTCTATATCAATTTGGTCATAGAGGTGACCATCACACAGCTCTATCATCGGCGCCATAGAATCTTTAGGATTCTTGCGTCTCCAGTTCTTAACGAAATCTGATACTTGTGAGCTAGTAGGAGCTGGACCATCGAAATTATTCTGGTCAACCAGTGTACAGATAAGCGAATGTAGACGTGAAGCCGTAGTTTGCTCTCCAGCTCCGAGGCTGTCCGTAATGTAATCTTTCATTTGCAGAGTAAGCTTGCTCTTTACTGGTGTTGGGGGGTCATCGGTGCCCATCGCATGATTGCCTTGTTGAAGCACCTCACACGTGCTAGATGACAGACAGACCTTGAACTTGTAGCGACAGGGGCAGGTGCGGTTCGCGTTCAACGGCGTGTCAGTATCAGTGTCGGCAGCAAGCTGCAGGCGTGACTTGCAGCGCTCAGATTTACACAGAGCAAGTTGTGAGCGCATTTTATGGCCACATCGGTGCAAATCGTAGTCTTGATCAATTAAATGGTTAATCGTACACCCTACTGGGTTGCTTTTGTCGATACTGTGTGGTGGTAGAGCTGACCGATATCTTTCTGAGCGTCTGGTTCTGTAAAACGCCAAATAGTAGTCCAGGGTCGCCGCGGGCGAGATGCAGAGCCGTCCTCCACGTCGGACTCCGATGAATCTAGCTGTAATGCCCCATCTAAAAGATCATCGTTCTCACTCTCCATTTCTTTGTCTCCACGTAATTCTAAATGAGCGACAGTGCGATGAGCGTGTAAAACTATCTATTTCTGTATCTACAACACTTGGCAGTGATCATGCTATTTTGGTGGTCGTTCATTTTAAGGTGGTGGTGGTGACCGTTTTCTGTGTGTGTGGTCCCGTCCATATTTTGGGTGGATCTACACTTTTTTATTATTGCAGTACACATAATTTAAAGTGGTAATAACCCGGACTCTGCAAGATGGTTTCGAAAAAATAGAAGTGCTTGGCAAAACATGTTTGGAGATATTTTTGCAGCCGTTCTTCAAGACATTTTGCAAGATGGTTGTGGAAAGAGCCGGTGGTCAGCATGTCTCTTGCGCAAACGTTCTTCAAGACTTTTCTTTGAAAGATATTTACGAAGACGTATTTACGTACATTTTGGAGGACCGATCACTTTTCGATTTCGCCTCTCAGATCTGGTCGACCATGGACTTTAAGAAGGCTTTCGCATTGACTCAACCATTACGAGATGCTGCGCCGACTCTCCACCGGTTGTTCCCGACTCGCTTCGATCAAGTGCTGCAGCTTCTAGCATCGCCAGAACCGCCACCAGGCACTACGTATGAGGAGCGATTCACCGCGCTGTTAAGCGACGAAGACAGCGAGACGAAGAAGTCGGTGACAAAGCGTGCAGTCTTTCAAAATAGGAAGTCATGGATCAAACGGCAGATCGAGGAAAGCAAACTCGGCAAACTATGGCTCCATGGCAAGACACGCGAAGAGATGTCGTCTGCTGAAATGGATGAGCTGTGGAAGCACGTGAACAAGCTCCGCACGTCAGGCGTCTCTTTTGAGAACTGCGAGAAGATCACTGGCTTGAGGAAGAATTGCTGTCGCCCCGGGTATAAGCTGTGGCGCGATCGCAACAGTGCCGAGGTCAAGGCTCTCGGGGAAGAATTCAACAGACGCATCGATCACAGTTTCGGTCTCCCGAGCGACGAAGAAGAGCGAACAAAAGATGAGCGTGAGGAAACAGTATTCGGCGACGAGTTCACCGACCTCGACAAGTACAACGAGCTGGTGGACCTTTATATCCAGGGTGAAGGGAAGTCCATGGAGGAAGAGATCGAGAAATTCAAGTCACAAGCACAAGCGCTGGATGAGATAGCTGCAGAGAAGGGTGTCAACCTCGGCATCAAGTGGGATGTAAACTCATGGACTCTCGATCCCAATGTAGGGCATCCGAACAACGCCGAACACACCATCGGGATAAAGAAGACTGTCCGACTCTCTCATCGCAATGAGCTTGAAAAGCAAATTGCAGAAGCAAAGACGACACTGCAGACACTGGGTATTGAGTTCGATACCAGCAAGCCTGACGACTCCGACGGATCATTCGAGCCCAGTGAGTCCGACGAGGCAAGTGAGGCCGACGAACCATACGAACCCAGTAAGTCCAATGAAGATGATGGTGAAAACACGGATGCTGTCATCACCAGTTCGAGTAGCAGCAAAAAACGAGCTGGGGATGATAACATTGTGACGCCGCCATCCAAGAAGACGTCACCACGATCACTGTCGTCACCGACGCCGACACCACAAGCCGCTGCTCAGTCACCGCCGACGCCGACACCACAAGCCGCTGCTCAGTCACCGCTAACGCCGACACCACACACCGCTACCCCTGCTCGCCAAGATGTCGAACTTAAAACAACCCACGGGGTTTACACATCTGCCGGTGACTGGACCATGAGGGGGCGAGATGGGACTCTGTGGCAGAAATGGATGAACTCCTGAGCCTATGGAACAAGAACCTGCTGCGAGGAAAGATCATTAAGCGCAACCTATCAGCTGAAGAGCGACAGCAAATCTTGCAAGACGCGCCGAAGAGCGGTAAATGGGACAACGAAACGCTTCTGTGGGTTGCCAAGATTGGTGTTTTCACAACTTTGGGCAACAACGCGAAGGGACACGTGTCGATGGCCAAAGCGACAGAGATAAAGAGAGGGTCGGTCAGTATGCGGATTCAAGGTGCTCGGGATGCAATCCGTGCGCACAAGGAACGACGCGAACAGGAACAACGCGAAGAGGAACAACGCAAAAAGAAACGAATCGAAAGCGAGAATACGTCGGATTAGGATGTTATGTACGGCTCTGCCGCTTCAGTCGGAAGACCACTAAGTATTGAGAATAGCGAACCAGTAACACGACGAAGCCCTCCATCCACGTCTTCTTCGTTGATATGAACTTTGTGAAATTTTGCCCCGCGTACTGTCAACTCCATGAAATGCCATGCCAAGAAATTAGACACGATACCGTAGACTGGTTCTTGGAATTTTGGATCTCTCTCGAGGTTCTCGATCAACATCGCCTCTGTTCCAATCACCATCTGCGCCGTACCCTTGTCGAAGTTATCCTTCTTGCATTTAATCACCATAATCTTGTGGCCTCTCTTAGTAACGAGGCGATCAACACGGCCGAATGAGTTAAGAACCTCGGACTTGAAAGATACCTCGCGTCGAAATTCCACGTTGTCGGCAGCGTCGCATTCGCGAACAACGGCCTGCATAACCTCGTCAACCAAAACGACCTTCTCCGCCTCGTTTGATATCTCAAATGTTCGGATTCCGCTGGTACGCAGTGTGTCGCGAACGGTCAAGTGCAGCCGGTCAATTCCCTCATCTGAAAGTGCAGCTGATGCGGGGCGGAACAATGGGAGGTTGCCATTCTTGTCAAGGTAGACACGCTCGAGTTCATCACGCCAGAAAAAGTCGCCGAAAGCAGACCGGTGAGCGCGCTTTTTCCCCGTGACGTTAGCTCTAGTCTTCTTCGTGGCGATTTCATCTGACATCTTGCGAATATTTGCAACACGGCAGCTGTGAACGCGCTGCAGACGCTGATCCTCAGGCTTCACGCTTTCTTCTTGCTCTTTTTGGTCGTCTTCGGCGTCTAATTCGTCTTCTGTGTTGTTGCCTTGCTCACAAGCGTCAGCCTCAGATCTGTTGATGTGATTGTAGCACGCGTCCAGCGTAAAAGAAAAAACTGCTAAAAGAATTGCTATGAAATGAAGTATGTTGCGCACTAGCCAATGATAATCGTTTCTTATTCTTTATAGCCAATTAAAGCGATCTCCGTTGCATTGGGCGAATCAAATTGCTTCAAGAATACAATTATATCCAATTAAAACTATAGTTTAGGGTGCAGTCGGAAGCTGAGCGATTCCGACGTATCTAGTCGGAGTTGACGACCAGATATGTGTATAGTAATACTTGCTAAAGGTTTGCCACGTATCGCCTGCATATTTCTACCTCTCCGACCAAGAACAATAAGCCTGAACGACTTGAAGCCCGCCAACACAAAGCGCGCGCGTGCGACGGCTTTAAAATCGTTTGAGCGCTTCCTGTCATTAGAGAATACTACCATGGAGCACGTCGTGGCTTTAGTCGTCGCAGACTCTAGTCGCGCGAGTAGTATACTAGTGACTCTAATGGACAAGTTTGGTGTGTACCTGGCATTCCACGCAGGAGCAAGGGGCAGCCTCTGTCGCGCCACTCCGTCGCTCAATACTTCCGCCAGGTCAAATGCTGGCTTTTGGATGAGTATCCTGTTCAAGGTGGCGCTGTAGCACGACAGCTGCTCAGCATGGGGCGTACCCTTGAACAGCACTGCATCAAGCGTGAAAGTGGTGGGTTCGTCAAGAAGGCTATTGCGTGCACAAAAGAGGATCTCAAGAAGATGATACGCTACTTATATTCAACGGCTCGCTGTGCGTCGGACTACCAAGATGCTGCGTTGTTGTGCCTCCTGTGGTACCTCTTCGGCCGTGCATCAGACATTACGTTCGTCCGGAAGCAGCAGCTCTCCGTCGGAGCTGGAGGGGTTTTCTTTATCCGATTCATCCGCGTGAAGACGTCCGATGAGCAGTCACTGTCACTTTTTCCTGACGCTGACTTCATGACTTGTCCGCTGCTAGCGCTCGCGCTGGCCTTGATTACGCAGGAGTCTCCGTGTGCAGCGTTGCTAAACCATTTGCCGGTGAAGTCGAAGGACGTTCCTGTTGACCTAGCTGCCTCGATACCATTACTGGAACTTCTTGACGACAATAGTGCCATGAATTCTTCTCAGACGTCGCCAGGTAGCACCACTGTTCACGCGACACTAACCGTTGGAATCCACGCTCTTGTCAACCGCGTGCTCGATCGCGTTGCTGGTCCTGCTGGAGTCGAAGTGTCGCTGACGTCACATTCGTTTCGCCGTGGCGGCGCGCAACACCCGAACGCAAACTCAGAGCTAGCAGCTCACTGGATCTTTGATCGCGGAGCTTGGAGCTTGACTACGACTAACAAAGCCTTTGCGTACGTCTTTAACACCCCTAAAGAAGATCAACAAGCTGCTAAGGTGCTGAGTGGGATGACGCCAAAGCAAGCCTCTTCTCCCCCGTCCCTGGAATCCTTCGACGCTGCAACACTAGAAAAGGTTAGAGAGGTTAGCCGGAAGCTTTTCAACTCGAGCCATGATCTGGGTAACAAGGCCTTAAACGTCTGCGCTGTTGTGAGAGATGTGCTAACAGCAACCCCCCTCCTCCACTACCCGTCGTTAGTGAAGATCAACGCGAAGACACCTGCAATGAAGACAGTTCACCTATGTGCGGAAGCCTCTGGAGTGACGACGACCAACCTGCTTGCATGGTCACAACGGCTCACAGCGTCAAATGAACACGCCAACACCACCGCCGAGGCCATGACTGAAGAAAATGTAAAGGCCAACGCTGCGTTGAATTATCAAACTGCCTTGATTGAACGGTTAATTGAGGTCAACCGTAGCCTTGAAGCTCGAGTTAACTCGCTAGAAGCTGCAATGAACAACACCGAAGGGAAACTTTGGCACGAGATAATCAAGCCAAGCGAGTAAGAGACGAAGATGAAATCGTACCAGTAAAGCGTCGCCGTCGATCCAAGACAATACCGCTTGTTGACACGTGGTTTGCGTGGTACACAGCTGTTCCGCGTGGATGGTAGAGTACTAATGTGGTGTAGTAGAACACACAAATACCGTCAGATGTGGATTCCTTACACAAACCACAACGAATCGCCGAGTTAGTTCGGCGGTTGTATGGCCTGCGCAGAGGGTGGTCCCCTCGCGGTCCGGCCCTTCCGGGACAGACGAGTGGCTCGCTTCCACTCGGTTCCGACTAACCAAGTCAGATCACTTCCGAGGCTCCGCCGAGTTTGGTTCGGCTGAGCTCGTTCACAACCCTGTGCCCTCCACCAAAGGATGGACGACGGCGCGCGAGCGCTTTTACAGGTCACCGAGCGCAGAGGCTGCTCAGCTAGAAGTGTTACGGCACCCGGGCTATCCGACGTACCGGCCCGCTGAGTATGCGGGACTTTCTTTCGCGCGTAGCAGACTTTGTCCTACCCGGACCGACCTAATCTCTTGGCGCTACCAGTCAATACTCTACAAGCTATGCCTCTCGAGTATTGACGGCAGGCATAATCCAGCCCTATGCAGGGACTTACCGGGAAAAGTGTACACGTGTCTTGGACTAGGAAAATTCTGCTCTGTTATCTTCTGGGAGCCTTTTCGGCTCCTCCTATTTAATCCTATGCTTCTCATACAAATATCTAGTGAAATGTAGTCGTTTCGGATCTCTACCGACTCTTCAGGCGGCCGTTGAGCTCAACGGCTATCCGGATAGCATATCCGGACAGATCGCCGAGTACTTACCGTGATCCTTGGCTCCTAAGCTCTGGGTTATCAGACCGAGCCGATTCTTGACCTAAAGTAGGTCGGCGTATGGTCGAATCTGGAAATCCCTACACCACAACTGCTCCGGTTATGATACGAGCCGAGCTGGTGAGTGTCT